AAATCAAAGGTATTTGAATACTAAATACTTTTACGTCCAGCACAAGCGAATACTAGATACAGATACATTGAAAAGTATTCAAATACTTTAGAATGGATTCGAATACTTTCAAAAGTATTCGAATACTTTCAAAGGTATTCGAATACTTTCAAAAGTATTCTAACACTACCAAAGGTATTCGAATACTATTAAAAGTATTCGAATACTTTGAAAAGTATTTCATTATCTTACTTTGAAAAGTATTCGAATACAGTAAAAAGTATTCAAATACTTGTCACTCAAACACATTAAAAATTTAAAATAGTATTATACTAGATAAAAGGCTTAATACTACTTAAAAAATCAAGTTATACTTTGTATGGGGTTAGCTTTTTTTATATTTCTATTGTTATATACAAATTTAAGGGGAGTAAAAGCGTAAAAAAAAGTAAAAGCCCTTTGAATTTTTTTTCGAAATTTGTTTTTTGTCCATAACTTTTTATTGAGAGGTCTAATCGAAAACGTACGAATTGTTTTGGATTCTACGCCCCAAAATTAATAAGAAAAAGTGTTTTCCCGAGAAATTTTGGTGCAGTCGATTTTTGGTAAAAAAAAAGGAAGGTTATACACTGCCTTTTTTTGAGGCCCGCAAAAAAAATTGTCTCAGATCGACGCGGAAAAAAAATTCTTATAGAATGTGGCCTGTAGAATCCATAATTTCAAACAGTTCCAAGATTGGGCTACTAGTTCAAAAGTTACAGCCCTCTGAATTTTCTTTCGAAATTGGTTTCTAGTCTATAACTTTTGATTGAAAAATCTAATCGAAAAAGTACGAATTCAAATACTATGCGAAGTATTGGAATACTTCTCAAAGTATTCAAATACCTTGCGAAGTATTCGAATACTTTACGAAGTATCCAAATTCTTTGCGAAGTATTCGAATACTAAATATTTGTGAAAGTATTTGAGTTACAAAAACAAATACTGCTTCCATAAAAGTATTTAATTACAAAGTATTGGAATACTTTAAAGGATTTGAATACTAAAAGTATTTAAAAAATCAAATACTGCCCAGCTCTGATTACAGCTCCCCTGTCCACTGCCCGGCTTTTTTAAATAATTAATACATAAGTTCAGACCATAATGTGCAAATTTCATCCTTTCCATTTGATTTAATAAATATAAAAAATAGTTTCAAGTGGCGTACAAGGCATAATGTGTTTGGAGGATGGAAAGTGAAAGAGCACACCTTTTTACATGTGACTTTGTAATTCAAAGAGACATCCAATTAGGGAAAAATTTATCTGAACATGGAAAAAGTGTGGGATTGGGTTTGTTGAGTTTTCAGTGAATAGCCGCTACGTCCCTTAAAAATGAACATGACATTGGTGGCACCAAAATTTCTTTGAAACAGGTGAAACACGTCGTTTGCTAGTTTTCCCCAATTTCTGGGTACAGTGTAACATTTGTCAACTAAAATTTATTATACGCCCCCGATACTTACACAATACGTTAAACAAATCAATAGCACCTAAAATTCTCGATTGTAGAGATAACGACGAATGAACCAATCAGTTCTATTATAAACGTAACCGTAAACTGTCATTATCTCCATCGACAGATATCAGAACTCGATAAAAACTTCTCAGGTAGCTGCACATTTTATGAGATAATCTGAAACAAAAACAACTATTTTCAAAACATGTCATGTAACACCTTGAGACAGCACAGAAGGTGTTCTTGCGTGTCAAACTTCTTTATTGTGTGTCGGAATTTCTTAATGTGTCTTTTAAGAGGTTTGTGCATCCTTTCGTGAAGATTCTTGTACCCGTCGCCTTGCGTCAATAGCGAATTAATTAGTCAGTAGTAGGCAAGGTCCCACGCGCACAAAATTTAATCCGTTCATAAATTAGGCTGCCGCATCAAACGTCGAAAAGCAAAGTAACTCGACTCTGTAGTATAAACAGAACGAAAATTCGGTGGGATTTTGATCTTCATGACAAAAGGGAAAATAAACATCCACTTTAGCACGCGCATTTATGCAAACATCGACCACCCTCTAGTTCGGGTGCGCACGTGCGTTAGTAAGACGTGCGTGACGTTTCTGTTGTTTTACGTGGATAATGAATTTAACGTCTGTCTACGTTATAAATGGGCCAATTAATAACTGGACGAAGAGACAATTCTTACATGCACAAAATGTTCGATGGATCATTCACCTTTTTCCAAAATTTGATGTCATTTCTTTGCAAACACAAAGCAGTTACCTAATTTTAATGTTGTGTCGCCCCCCCATTTTGTTTAGTATGGAATCGTTTGAGGCGTGGGCAAGTTTGACTTTTTGTTGATTGTCCTTATTTTCAAAATAATAAAGGCGTAATTCGGACCTCTTATGGCTATTCCTTCGACTTGGAGCCATTTATATACCAGACTAAGGCTCCTTCCGCAAATTTTGGATTGTTTTTACAGACTTCCTTGTCCCGGATCACCACTTAAAGGGCTTGTCGTGGCAATATTCGGGAGGCATGTAGTCTGAAATCCTGTATATGTACTTAGAAATGTTTAGTTATTGTACAATTCCCCAAGTGTTTTGCATTTTTGTGTATTCCTTCTACCTCACTTCCGAGCCTGTCTCGCGAGGGCTTTTAAACAGTCACTGGCAGCTTGTCCCTACCACCAGAAGGTTACTTGGAGCTGGAGGGCGCCCGGTACCCAGAGTTCGCTGACTAACGACCAAGCTTTCCTTTGATGTATACGAGTGCAACATAAAAATAAGGTACGCTTTTGCTAGTTCCTTTCATTGACATGTCCTACATTTAAATAAGCTATTCCACACTTTATTTATTTCCACAAGGGTTGAAATCTGAACACAGCATATAGGCTAATGGAGGGACAATCTCCATACTATATCACTATAATGAATCGTTCGCCAAAATTTCTGATCAACCGGTGAAAAGTGACCCCTGAAAAGATGTAGGTACGAACAGACAAAGACTCATTTTGACGAATAGAAGTCGAATTACAAATACAACATGTACAAAATTTCTTAGCCATGGCCATGGAGTAGAAGGAACGAACTTGCTGTGACATTTTTTCGTACAGGTGTCAGCCCTATAAGAAATTATTTCCAATCAGTAACACTCTCCACTAACATATACTTTCACAAATGGACAGCTTATTAGCGAACCTCAATACTCTTACTCCCTGCACTCGTAACAAATTTTCGGCAATATGCTAATAACCTTCTTATAACACAATTAGGAAATATTTTTCAACGCCATCCAATTATGTGGTGTTTTTAGAATAGAGAAATTATTTAAACACCTTGAGGTTCGATTCCGTTTTAACAATTTAATCTCGCAGATGTTTAAACATAGACGCATCTGTCGTCGATTTGTTTATATTACGTAAGGTGATTACCTACTTCACTCCAATGATTCATAATAATACCATATCGATGCGTGAGAAGAGCAAAACAATTGGCACGATGATACAATTCTGTGTAATTTCCACGGGATGACTCTGATATCAGGCCGCTATCTTATTAAATCGTGAATAATATCGCCTTTAACGATACATACCGTAACGGTTAACAAATATTTTGATTATTAATTGAGATGATTAAACTTCGGAGTGTCATTTCCTTTGTTTATTTAAAATTTGGACTGAGATTCCGATTCATTAGTAATTACAGCGAAGGTAATACAAATAAATTTTATCCAAGTTCACTTTTTCTATAATTACGCAATAATTAACACTCCCAATTATACTTTGCATCCCTTAAAAATGCGTTTCCGGAGAATGGTCGGTAACATCAAATTTGAATCATTATACAATCATTACAGAATACAGACCTGTTGATACGGGGGGAAATTTTTATTTTTTTTTAACTTTCGGAAATATCGCCCTTTTTCATGGACTCATTGAGTTCCCGCAGAATTCCAGAATACCATTGCCGTCAATTTTCTAACCGAACACAGCGTTTTTTGTTTTTGGGAATCCACCCAGTATACATCAAAACTTGTTTCTTTGGAGGATCCCATTAATACACCAAGCTCCCATGGTTAGTGATAATTTTTGGAAAAATTCCCAATTCCCAATTACGCATGATTAATCCTTACTATTACTCAACATCGAAGCTTTTAGGACGATAGACGAGAAGACAGACTACTGTGGTAAAATCCGATTGCACGAAATCAGTCCTGATGGTATTAGCTCATGTCCTAAGAACAAGAAAGTACCAATTATCTCGCATCATTGAATAAAAGCACTAATCCAATGCCGTATTAAGTATTATTGATACCAGCACAAATTGTAACCATATACAGGTCAAATGCACCAAATTTAAATAACTGTTTATTGGTGAATAGGCCAAAGCAGGTTGTAGCAAATAGATAGAAAATAATAAGATGGATATTGATAGATATTTTTGTGTATTTCACTTTTGTTTAATGTTAAATGTTGTAGATTGAATAAACAATTTACCAGAGTGAGTTTATATCTTAGAGAGTCAAGGCGTAGCATATCTGGCGACGAGGATCAGGAATCAAATTGCGGAAGTTTAGTGTCAAACATGGCTGCGTTAATTGGGTCAATCGAACATTTTTCATCGTCGAAGTCCGATATTAGTTCATACCTAGAACGTATGGAACAATTATTCATTTGTAATGAAGTGGAGGAAAATCGCAGTTCCCATGTTATTAACGTTAATTGGTCCGGAGGGTTACACATTACTAAAAAATTTGTGTGCACCTGAAACTGTTTCGGCACAAACTTATGCCAAGTTAAAAGGAAAGTTAATGCAACATTTCAACCCGGAGAAAATTATCATAGCAGAACGGTTTAAGTTTTATAATTGATGTCAGTCGCAGTCAATGTCATGTAAATTAGGTACATTCCTGAGTGAGGCACTGCGAGATCGATTCGTATGTGGATTGCGAACGGAACAAATCCAGTCACGGCTACTATCTGAAAAGGATTTAACCTTCGATAAAGCATGTCAGTTAGCGATAAATTGGGAAATGTCACATAACCAAGCCAAAGCTCTTCAACCCCAGGGCGATACGAACAAAATTGAAGGCAACGTACCCCGTTGGCAGCATTGGAAGCGAAGGTCAGAGCCTGGTCAGTCAAAAAGTCAACAAAACGTCAAACAAGAGTCAGGAAGTCGAGGGCGCCAGTCAGCTTCAAGTACAAGTAGTCAAGCATCTCGAAAATCATGTCATCGATGTGGAAGAATGCACAACCCAGCAACTTGCCCAACGAAGCAATGGCAGTGCTACAACTGCTCTAAGCAAGGTCACACGTCGACAGTCTGTATGGCAAGAAAGAAGGTCAACCCGAGGGTCAACCAAATGGATGAAGACACAAGTAGTCAAGGGCAAGGTGAATCGGATGAATCACTCGTATTAGGCCACATCGGAAATCTGGATTGGAATAAGAAGGAAGAGGCGTATCAAGTCGAGTTGTGCATGGAAAGCCAGCAAGTAAAGATGGAGGTCGATTCAGGGGCCTGCAGGTCAGTAATGCATAAGTCAGATTTCTTTAAATTAAGCAGTAATGAGTTACAACCCGTCAGGTTTAAGTTAAATGTTATCACAGGGGAAAATGTCAATATATTGGGCCAGCCTTTAGTAAACGTAGAATTTATGGGTAGTTCTGAACAGTTACCAATTATCATATTAAATTCCGCTAGTAAATTTGCACCATTAATGGGCAGAGATTGGATTGCAAAATTTAATCCGTCATGGAAAAATGTATTGTTAAAAGTTAATAATGTCGAACAGTCTATGAAAGATAAAGATGAATTAATTTTATAGTAAATAAGGTTATTGTTCAGCTTATGAGAGATTTTAAATGTATATTTGAGGGGGATAGGTCATCAACCATCAAAAACTTCAGGGCAAATTTAGTATTAAAGGACAATGTCACTCCTATCTTCCACCAAACTTACCGTGTCCTATATTCCATAAAAGAGGCGGTAGAAATAGAATTGAGATCGATGGAGAAGTCCGGAATATTGAAACCTGTTAAATATTCAGAATGGGCCACCATGCTCTAATGGAATGGCTGAAAAGCAAGTACAATCCATAAAGAAGTGCCTACTGAAAGAAGTACATGAAATGGAAGTGAAGAATACTCATAAGAGTATACAACTGTTGATAGATAATTTTCTATTAAAACATTGTACAACACCCAACAGCGTCACTGGTGTTAGTCCCGCATCCATGATGTTAAAACAGAATCCGAGAACTAGAATGACTATGTTGAAAATGAAACCTATAGAGGAAAAAAAACGAAATATGATCAAGTAAAGGAAAACGAAGATAAGAGTAGAGGTAAAATGAGAGTATTTGAGGAAGGGGAAGAAGTTTTAGTGTATACCCTGTGAGGAAAAGAGTCCAAATGGAAGAGAGGGAAGGTCATGAAGAGGATTAGCGCTGTCACCTATTTGGTACTTATTGACAGCATTATAAAGCTAATTCATGCCGATAGTTTAAATAAAGTCATCTGGATATTGAACTGACAAACCAAACAGCAGAGACATTAACAAGCCCGACAACAGTCAACATTAGACGTCGAAACGGAAATGCAAAAGCCTGCAGCAACACTTGAAATACCTGAAATAATTCCAGAGGTAATTGAAATATCCCAAAAGGAGTCACAAATTGAAAATCGCAATCCTAATGTTCAATCACCAGAAACCAAACCCAGTCCTATTCCCAAACCACCAACTCCAGCTATTCGTCGTAGTTGTAGAAGTAGTAAACCACCGCAGAGATTAAACCTTTAACTGTCGTTAGCAACCATTTAAAAAGGGGAGAGAATGCTGTATATGAAATGTAACTGTAGGAAAAATGAACTGTAGCAAATAGATAGAAAATAATAAGATGGACATTGATAGATATTTTTGTGTATTTCACTTTTGTCTAATGTTAAATGTTGTAGATTGAATAAACAATTTACCTGAGTGAGTTTATATCTTAGAGAGTCAAGGCGTAGCACTTTTGAGCAATATAAAAATCCGAGTAAAAATCCGAAGAAACTGAAAACAGTTGCATTTCGGAAACCACACTGCATCCACGCCCTTTTCATCCTCGCACATACTACCAGGAGTCCTTCCTAGCCCAAACAACATATTTAAAAAAAATGGCTTCTACCCCAATTAATCCAGCAATTCGGCCTGCTTCTGTGTTCATTTACACAGAGGCAAAGCTGAAACAAAACTATACAAAACACGTTTAGTTTAATTTACTTGAGAAAAAACATTTAAATACGTTGTAGAAACTAGAAACGTAATAGTACGAAATTTTCCTAAAAGTCTCGGACACCCAGTACCTTAACTGTATTATTAGTGAATTCATTACAGCAAAGATTTTGTTTTAGTCTCGGTGCGATTTCAAAGTAGAAAAACTTTTTTTTTGCAGCATGAGAATGTCTGCATGTTATGTCGAGTGTCCAGAATGTTTAATTTCAAATTTGAATATCGTTAAGTCATCAACGACGGAACTCCCTACGTTTGGATAGGTGTATCAAAATAAACAAAAATCGATAAAATATGGTTAAGTATTTAAAAGGTGATGTAAGGGTCATTTCCGGTTGCAACACCCAGCTGGCCGGACGAAACTTCATAGATTCATCCCCGTTCATTATTATTCTTTCCGTTCAGCCCACACACTTCAATAAAACAGGATCGGGCTACTCGTCTTACTGGTCTCTTTAAAATGAGTGCTCTCGGAATGTAAATATTTATTAGCGAATTTAAATGGGTTTTTGAGCGAAATTATGGTCGGCCGCGGCATTTCTTTCTTTTATTGCCGATGAAGCCCACGTTCCTCTGCTGCAAAGGAAACTCGAGACAATAAAATCGAGTTAGCATTTTTCGTATGGCCTCCTACCTGTTGTTCTTGTTCCATAGAAAAACTATTGATCCGGTGAACCTTGAGTGGCGCCGAATGCTTACGCCTATATTATAATTATTATTGGCGCATTAAAAATTGTTTAAGATTCGGATCGATTTTTAAGTGATTACTCAATCGGAATTCTTCGATTGCGTGTTTGTGCAATATAACTTAGCTTAAATATTGTAAAATCAATTAACTATATAAGTATGAATGTTTTCACACCTTCAGAAGTTAACTTGTCAAGATATGAATTATAATTGTTCCGGAATGACTTTTTTTTCGAGTATAAAAAAGTAAAAGGCTCATTAGCTCCGGTTCTATTGACAGTTTATTAACTACATAAGCCATCTAATGAATCACATTCGTTATAAAAAAATTCTCTGGTATAGGAAAGTTCTGTTCGCGAAATTCGCCGGAAGAAAACGTTACTTTATTTATTTTCAGTCGAGGCGTATCCATCATGGATGTTAAGATTAAGAAACAATAAGCTATTAGTATGCAAATCTTGATGAATTCGCTACCGTTGCGCAGGTGCGTGGTAATGTACAATATCCGATCTTTCAAGATCGTTAAAGACGTATGCCCTTCAGCTTGTAGCTGTAAATTAGTATTCCGTCTAATACCTAACGAATTGGATGTTTATAAAAACGATAACTGGTGAAACCAATAACGGGCACGTGTTGATGAATTAGCAGGTGAAGAGATATCTCCGACTCTGTACCAAAATAAACATGCAATTTTAAGTTTGATGATTAATGAAGGTGCCATTCAAAATACGTTCGGTCGTTTGTTTTTAACAATCTGATCGGCGAGTACGGGTTTGGCACTTTTGTAAGACTGGAAGAATTAGATGCCTACGAAAATTGTATAATTTTTATTCCAAGTCCAAATATACCGTTGGAATTCGCATGAGAAATTAGCGATATCTGTCTTCGTTCGAGATCGTTACTGAATGTGCAGCATTTGAGTATACGTTTGATTAATTGAAAACGAACATATTATTTTAATTAGAAGTACAGGGTATGCATTGTAACTGTGTAAGTGTAGAAACGATTATATACCTAACCTTTTCCGGAATGGCATTGATACCCTTTAGGATCCTGCTTTGGATAAAGCTATCTATGATATTAACAATTATGACCTTGTGACCTTTAAATATTTTTTTTGAACTCTACATTTCTTTGAGTGACCCGTAAGTAATTTTGTTATTTAATTCACGAGAACCTAGCCCCTTATGTTATTATAAAATGAGACCAGTCATCTAAAACATTCTATAGGTCGCAAATAATTGCAAGGTTCTGAATTTTTGGGATGTTGTTAGATACCAATAGTGTAAAACCAAGCTTGCAACCTTGAAAGACCTGTGGTAACTTGGTGGTGTTCGAAAAACCTCGAAACTCTTTACAATTTTTAGTTTACAACTTTTAAAAAATGCATTCTACTGCAAAGTCATCTGCAGCGGTTTTTTCTGCAAATAGGGTAGATAATTTCCTTTGGTTTTTTACAGAACGGGAAAGTCCAACAAGAAAACTATTACAACATTATTCAAATACCGTCGCCAAGCCGTTATGATTCTTTACTAGAAACTGTACCTTAAAATAAATTCCCTTTTTCTTACTTGAGAGGTCTCCTTTCCTTTTATCTGAAAGTTTCCTACAAATGGTTTTACTGTTTTTCAAAAGGCCGGATATATTGAGAAAAATTAGAAATTGTCAAATATTTTTTAAGAATGCATCCTTTTTTACAATAAATTTTTATTTCTCATGCCACAATTTGGATACTAAAATTTACTTTGAAATGGCCATATCATTCCTTTCCTTTAAATAACTGAATGATTTGAAATTGAAATCTTGGTTAATTCAAATTAGTACATTTACACCTTAACCACACCTAAATTTGTGATTACCGTAACAAATTATGTAATAACTAAACCCACGAACTTTGTTCCCTTTAATATAAATTTTACGGAATCCTTTTTTCACTCCGAGAAAAATATGAATTAGGACTGACACCAAATTCAGTAGGTTCTTTTGATTGCAACACACTTTGAAAATACACAATTTTAAATGTTTTCCAAATCCCTTAAGAACCTTAATTTAGAATTTTACTACGAAGTATACAACGGATCAATATTTATCTTTGATAATTGACCCCAAAGGCATCGAGTAAACTTGACAAAATACATCAATACGACTAACCTTTATTCACAAATTTTTTTGGACGTGGATGCTAATTCAACATACATTTGTTGTTGTAGTTAGCGATAGCAAATTGATGACCATAAAAACAATTTAATGTTATAAGGTCTTTGTTAATGTTTTAATATTGTAACCCAAATAACATAATATAAAACAGTTTTGTATTGATCACGAAGGAAACCCTTTGACTTGATGAAACGAAATAGTTCTCGTTGGTACTTTAATATAATTGTTTTATTTAAACTACGAAACGCAATTATAAAACAATTCTATAATATATTTATTGAGTCTTAATAATATCACCGAAATTACTAAAAGCAATTATAAAACACTTTTATTTTATAGGCTTCACTTATGTTTTTGCTTTATTCCTGTTGCTGTTAGAAACGTTTCCACGATAAATTTATAAAACATTTCAGCTATAACAACAAAACAGCATTCATCCACCCTTTAATAAAATTAATTAGTATTATGGAAGTAATAATAATAAAATTCGAATAAAATAAAACAGTTGCAGAGCGATGAAATTATAAAACTACTTCGCTGGTTGAGTACAGACGGACCGACAGACCGACATCATCGAGATTTTGTTTGAATCGGTTTCCTAATGCTTCAAAACATGTATTTCCGTAAAAAAAGTGGGACGTCATTTATTTGACCCTATAATGCAATACCTCCCTCTTACTAACGTGCGGGTGGTAAAAATAGTTTTTTTGT